AACGTGGTGGTCAATCGGTGCGGTGATTCCGCCCAGGAGTCCTTCCCATTTATCAAGGAATTTCTCAAGCTGAGGTTCGCCAGACCCGGCAGCTCTGCCGAGGGATAGGCGAAGAAGTTCATTCGTGCGGATAGACTGACTCCCGACTTCATCAGGACGAAGGTACTCATCTGGCGGCTTTTCAGCCTCGTTCCCCTTTTTACCTGAGCCTCTTCTGTCAGCCTGCTGATCTTGGCAACTATAGGTTTTGATGTGATGCATTTTCTCAGTGCAGCATTGAACCTATTGTCAAGGATCGGGTAGAGGCACTCGTCATCAAGTTCCTCTATTGTGCTGGCGTTCTCGACACTCATGACCCAAGACATGGCATATGGCGAGTCATAGCTGAACGCGTTGCTCACGATTTCTCTTGTGGAAATGATCCAGTCTCGCAACTCGTGCGGTGCAGGCTCTTTCTCGAGCTCTATGTTGGCGCACTTGTTCGCCTCAGATGGCAACGAAGTTAAGGGCGGCCGAGTGGCCTGCCCAAAAACATGGGGAGGTAGAACGCCGTCTCTGCCAATGGATATGGCACAAAGAGAGCAACTCCCAGACGATGGTGGGCAGCATGCGGCACACAAAGAAGTGCGGCACAACGAACAAGTTTGGAAGCATGGAGGTGTCCCGGGGATGCTGGACTTGACATTGATGTTGCATCGAGGGCAGACCCTTTCTTCAGCAGAAGATCGGCGAATGTCGGGAGCTCCAATACCGCCGACGCCACCGGCGCCATGCACACCCTTACCGAGTCCTGGTGGAAGAGAGAAACCAGCTGTCCCGCCAGAGTTATCCTGTACTCCGTGATGATGCTGTGGATTCTGCTGATTTGTCACAGCAGTGTCAGGCCCGTACCTTCCACGAATGACTCCCTGAGACGTTCCATGCTCAACCTGACCAGTGAAAATTCCCCCCGTAGGGGAACATCCGGGATACGTGTTGATGGTCCCCCTCGGAGCTGCTCGCCCGATTACGGGCGATGACATTGCCCTTGGCGGCATCGGCCCGGCGGCTCCGGCATGGGAACAGAAACCAGAGTTCCCTTGTTGCGGTTCAGGGCTCCGATGTGACGGATCTCCACGTGATGGCCCGGACCCAGGATCAGGAGCAGTGCCATCCCGCTGATTATGTTCAGGAATAGAACCAGGTCCTCCAGGTCCCGCACTGGGACCACGATGCTTAGTTTTCCCATCGGGGTCAGCTCTCAGGCAGAGGCAAATAGGTCGAACATTTGATCCGAAACGGCGCACATCGTCAGGTGAAGCGATGTGTTGATCGCAGTACTCATCCTTGCATATGAGACACGTCACAAGTCCGTGTCTCCCTCCTCTTCCTCTGCATGCGCGACATCTAGGAAACTGATCGCTACATTTGAAGCACGAGTTACAATCATGATCAAAGCAGTCTTCGCAGACTGACTTGCCGCAGTTTCGGCATGGATAGCGAGGTTCCCGATGCTGTGGATGCCCAGGCTCCTCGTGAGCGCATTTGGCCCGGTTATCAGGGGCAGCACCGGCAGCCCGAGCAGCAGCCCTCGTTCTAGAGGGATCCCTGCCAAAAACGGGGGCCGATGGTGACGGTGGAGGTGGCCCTGAAGGAGGAGGAGGTGGAGGAGGTCCTGTCGAGCTGACGATGCGAGCATCGCGAGGAGGAAAACCTCTAGGAGCTCTTCCCTGGGTTAAGGGATCCGTGTCTCCAGATCTCTCCCAGGACTCCGTCCCGGCAACCGATACAGCGCCAGCACTTGAGGATGCGCAGGCAGCAGGAGGTTGTTCCCTCAATTCAGCGAGCTGCATGTTGATCTCATTGACCCGCAAGACAAGCTTCATGAATTGTGCTTGCATGTCCCTCGGATAGGGGCCTTGGCTTTTATCACGAAGGTCCTTGACGCACCTGGCAATACGGGACAATTGAAGCTTAAACTCCTCCTGTCTCTGTGTATTCTCGTTGAGGGCTCCGGACACCCTATCACTGAATTGTTTCAGGTCGGTCGCAGGGACAAGGTGCTGAATGTACGTCTCAACGTTCCCACGGATGGTTCTTTCCCTTGAGATGGTTCCTTCAATGTCAATGACACTGCGAGAGTTCGCCTCAACTTCGTCTTTGATTCTTCGAATTTCAGCCTCAAGGGCCCCGATCTCGGAGAACCTAAGGAGCTGGACCTTGATGTTCTCGAGTGACTCGGCCTGCTCGCGAAGTTCAGCTGCAGATATGATGACCGAGTTGGACCTCTCGTCATACATCTTGAAGCGCTCATTTATCTCCTTCTCGCTTCGGGCGACCCATTCGTGGAAATCACGGAACTTGGCCTCGTGTCTCGAGAACGTTCCGGCAACGGCAGAGAAAGATGATTCAACCTTCTTCTCGAAGGTGTCAACACGGTTATTGATCTTCTTGATTTCACCGACGCAAACGTTGATATCATCCCTGCATGAACGAATCTCAGTTCTGCACCCCTGGATTTCGGCCTTGCATCCCTTGACCTCGTTGTGGATCGCGAGAAGCAGTCGCTGAAGCTCAGATGCAACCGGATGCATGAGCTCCGCGCTTATTTTCTCTCCTGTCAGGAGTGCAGCCCGGAGTTCCGATTTGAAAGAATGTAGGGATGAGGGAGTTGTCGACCGGTTGATTTGATGGAAGCCCTCCATTTCCAGGGGCAACAGTGCTAAGTCCAGGTCTCCGATTCCTGGGCGTAGAGTTGATCCCGTCATCAGTCTCCTTCTCAGACATCGGGGCATTGGAGCTGAGCCCAGATCCCGCAGAGTGGATAGGAACGTCAACAGGGTCGTGATGAGCGGGGGGATTAGATCGCAATCGGAGGGCAGCTTCACGCCTTTCGGGGTGACTTCAGAGCTCCTCTTTGTGGCTCGTGAGTCAGCGCCGGTTTGTCCCGGCATATGATCGAACGATGATGTTGAGCATGATCTGGATCAGGTTGAGTGAAATCAAGCCGTTGAGCAACGTCATCATTAAACGGCTTAGGGGAAAGCACTTTGGCAACGCGGCTCGGCGGGAGCGATGTCGTTCGCCTCTCTGGTGTGACCTCGGCCTCATCGATTACATCAAGGATCCCAGGGATGGTCTCATCATCTTCATTTCCTCTCCTGGGTGGCTGATGGAAGGGAATGTCGAGAAGGTCGAAGGGAGTAGACCCAATACCAGGTGTATCCTGTTCGGATCCATCACTGGTACGGTGGCTGGACTGCTCCTCGAGGTCGATGACGTCGGGGGCGGACTCTTTTCGAGTCTGACGCCGATTGAACGCCGCGAATAGACCGGCATGGCTTCTTGATGAAGTGGAGGAAGGATTTGGGCCTGCTGTTTCGCGGCCCGCGTCCGATCGATTAGTACCTGATGCCCGATTTGGCGGATTTGAGCCCGCGTTGTAGCGGTTCGCATCCCGACCTCGGGTACCTGAGGAAAGCGGTGGATTCGGACCAGCGTTGTAGCGGTCCGCATTCCGGTCGCGGGTACCTGACAGGTGAGATGATACTGCATCAGGGATGAAGTCCATATCCGCCGGACTGGGGTGATCGTGAATGATGTCAATGTCGGATGAACCTGAGACGGGAGGAAGGCCAGCTATTTGCGGCCAATCCTCAATCGCCCGTTTGCCAACCTCGGGTTGGGCCGAACCTGCAACATGAGAAGGGGAGAAGTCTTCAATGGGGTCATTTTCTCCATCATGAGGAAAACCCTGAGTAGGCTCATGAGTAGGCTCATGCGTAGGCAGGGCATCAAAAGATCTGTCAATTCGGGAAGGCTGAGACCTCCAATCAGCATCAAAAAGGGATTGAAAATCCAGATTCCCAACCGATATGGGGGCACCCGAGTTAAAGTCGAGCCGACCGAAATCAGGCGGTGTAGCCTGCGATCCACTGCCGAGGAGCTGGTCAAACTGATCCCATGTAAGGGACCATGATTGAACCGGCTCCGGATGAGCAGCACGATGGACAGCCCGGTCCTCGATCTGGAGCGCCACGAACGGAACAGTAGGCGAAATCGATGAGGGCACCTGATTTGGAGGAACCTCAGCCTCTTCTAGAGGGGGTCCGTCCTCGATCTGAAGCACTGCCGCCGGGATAGGGGCCTCCGCATCCTCATCAAACACGACCTGAGAAAGGATCCAATCGTCCGTGATCACCCCGGGATTGGGCTCTGCGCCCACCATCGGGGGAATGGGCCACAGCCGGCTGTCTAAGCCGGGGGCAGCAGGCGCGGCGTTGCCGCGAAGGGCGTTGGCCTCGTCATCCACGAAGCCCGGCCCACGATGTGAAGCTCCGGGGGACGCCGTTGCTCGTACGAGTAGGCGAGGGAGCAGGTGGCGGGTCACGTCCCGCAACCGGATCACCAGCCCCAGCTTCTAGCTGTTACGGCTGATAACCTGCGGTTTTGGGCGAACACGAAGTAGCCCAGGGAAGCAAATGAGCACAAAGTAGATCACGATGTACCCAAAGCACCCGGAAACACAACTCGGGTGAAGCTGTGGATGATGACCGGGTTGAGGAAGTGACGGTTGACAAAGGAGAAGTATGGGGATGTTTGAAATCAAGTTGAAGAGGATTAAGTTCAATACCAAGCCCAAGTAGAACAGCGCGACCCACCGAGCACCTCCTACACCCAGCCGCCCGCGGCCCCGACCCTTTTCGGCTCGAGGACGAGGAAAGCTGCCAGTGAATGGCGCTCGAGCGTGAGTCCTATCCCCACTTGACGGGAGGTAAAAACTTGAGCCAAACGGCCATTCGGCCGATTTGCTTATGATAGAACAACACGTGAACGAAACACACCAAGAAAAGAAAGGGGGCCACCCGCAGTTGGTGTTCCCGGTATCTCAACCTGAAAGGGTGCCCTCAAAAAAAAAAAAAAAAAAAAAGACGCCACCACACAGGCACAGGCGCACACACGCGCACCAAAAAAAGAAAAGAAACGCGCGCTTTGGGCTTTAGAGAGATTCCTGGCCCCGCCTGGGCTTCCCTCCAGCCCTGGGACTTCTTGCCCTGCACAAAGTAGTGGGCCTGAGAACAGTCAGCCCCTCCCGGTGCCGGAAAGCCACGCCACCCTTCTGCATCTGACACGAATTCGTACCTTGCAAGAAATACAAAAACAACTTCCAGTGTCCCTACTTGTGTGGGACCCCCTTCTAACTTCTAACCTTGTGAAATCAAAGGTTAACCTTTGCAGCCCCGACTAAGAGTTGCCCGAATAAGGAACCCCGTCCCAGCTCAAAGCTGGATTCATTGCTGACAAGCGGGGATAGAAAGGTCGACGCCGGATTATATCCGCAGGTTCTCTAGAACTACCCCTTTACACTCGGACACCCTCATCAACCAGCTTGTGAATCCTTGCCATTTGCGCTGACTCAGCGGATTCCCCAAGCTGAACTAAGGGATCCAAAGGGAACCGTTATCAACCTGGCTGGACTCCCTCGTTTTACCCAGATCAGTGAGCTCATGATCTTCACACCCACCAAACTTCAAACTGCCACCAAAGCCCACGGCAAACAAAACGAAAATCTCAACCAGGACCACCAATAAATTTCCATTGGAGTCTCATTCTTTGCACATTGATTCGTGAGTCCCTTGCTACAAGTTAAACGTCAGGGGAATATGCAATGAAACCGTGAAACCCTTTAAACCCAAAACCACTAAAGCCTAAACTGTATGACTAGGCACCGCCAACTTCTGCGTTTCAATCCATCCAGACCCCCCGACCCCTCATCTCAGTGCCTGGCCCTGACACGTGCGCCTTCCGCAATTCCGATGTAGTCGCACACATCCTTCCGGCCTCGTCCCCGGATCGGAAGGTGCTGCAAGATCCCCCCCACTCCCGCGAAGGATCTGATGATCTAGAGCTTCGGTGCCAGCGCACGAAACTCGCCGCAAGAGTGAGAAGCAAAAGGAAATGGGAAACCTGGTCACCCAAAAGCCAAGGGGCACAAAGTGACTTAGTGAGCACAGCGATTTTAACTGTCAGCACCACTCCTTGAATGTCAAAGATGTGTGCCAGTGGTCGCACACGATTCTGCGCAACTTGTTCATGCGCAAAGACTTTCCTCGGCGGACAGTGCAAGGCTTCTCACTCCCCCACCCCCATCCCCCTGTGCGTTAGACATGTTGCGTATCGATGTTCCGCAACCTCCTTCCGGCCGCGTTTGTCCCGTTGCCAAACCCCCCAGCCCCTGCCCGCCTCCCACCTCCCACCTGCCCCAAACGCCGGCACTTCGGCCCTTCGCAAGCCGAAGCGCTGGTGGAGATGCGCAGACGCCTCTGCTCGAAGAGCTGGCGGATGCCGCCCATCTTGCCCACAAAGGTCTGGCAAAAGCAGATGGCCAAATGGCCGAAAGTCCAACACACCCCCTAACATCTAGGGCCTCCGGGGCCGGAAATCCGAGCCCTGGCCGAAACCGTGACTTCAACATCGCAACGCCTATGGTTCAAACACCTGGGTTTAACACGACATGGTGAACACCCGTGGTTTCCAACAACCTCCCTGGGTTTCTGTTGGAGGCTAGGGAGTGGTTGTGAAAAAGAGTTTTGCAAACAACCATGCACCATTTCCGGGCCCAAGAATTCCAACCAGCTGCGAAGGAGTGCAAAAGCAGGGCTTTTGAACGAACGCAGAAATCTAGGCGATCGCCTCCGCACATCGACAGCCTTGAACATGTCTCCCTGCCTGAAACTCCCTGAGGGAGACTTTGCTGTCCTGGCCCGACTTGAACAAAAGAGCCAAGCAACGGGCACGCGTTCTTCGTTTCCCTCCGGCCGCTTGGAACCCTGTTGCTTCGGGGCAGGTGCATCCGGTGGAGTGAAAGAGTTTCAGGGCTAGGTACAGGCTCGGGTTTTGGCGGAGGTCTCAAACAGCGCTCCCAAGCTGAAGCCAGAACAAACTCTCGCTGTCCTGCCAAACCCCTTTTTTGGCACAGGTGTCGCTGGCATTTGTGACAATAAGGGACAAAGGCCCCGAAGCACAAGCTGAAAGCATCACACCTGGGATGCTTTGCGCGTCCCCTTCCGCAGAGGCTTCCAGAGAAGCGCCAGCCATTCGGCCACCAGCACCAGCCATTCGGCCAGCTCTCCCCCACCTCACATCTACAAGTAGTCTTCCAAAGAGGGCCATGGAAAAAAAACAACCAGTTGGTCCCCATCCTGCCTGGCTTCCTGGCTTGGTGCCGAAACCGTCGCTGTGGCGCATGCTGCCGAACTCTGGGCGGAACCCGCAGAAAGGGCGGTGCCTTTTGAGAGCCTCGTGAGTCTTGCGAGTCGACCCTTGGCCCAAGTTGAGCTGGCTTTGCGATGAAGACTTGGGCGCAAAGCTCAAGTCGAATCATGCCAGATTTTTGCTCTTAGCTCTCCTTGTTCCAGCTGTCCGTCGGCTAGTCGGCTCGCCCGGCACGTCGGCCGCTCGCCCGCCGAACGTCGAACGGCAGTTCGGGGCTCGAGCGAGCGCCGAGCGATGCGCGCCGCGAGCTGCCGAGGCGCAGAAGACGCCCTGCGCTTGGCACGGAAGTCTGGGTGCAGCTCCGAAAGCCGGGTATTTGCCGGCCCCTTGCCCGGATGTGGATACAGAATACGCCAGAAAAGCAAATCTGCGCAAACTTTCAAGAAACATCTCACCCCAAAAAAAGGACAAGAGGGTTGGCACTCGTTGCCCTCTCGGCTGCCCCAGGTAAAGAGTTGCTAGGCAGCTGATCCGTTGGGACCAGCGCCATTTGGGCTCCAGGCGAGTTTAGATGTTCTCGCCTCTCGTTGGCACCAGAAAAAAATTGGCGGTGCCGTGCTGACACATGTCCCCGCCCTAGGAGGCCTCTGCCGCAAGGGAACCAGCAGAGACAAGCGGAGGCTCTAGAGCGAGCCGGAAAAAATGGGCGCATAAATCAGGTTCCGGCCGACGTGCCGGGTTTGGGTGCAATTGCCGCATCAAAAAAAGACTGTGCATCCTGTGGGAGACGCACCCAAGCCCTGGCTGGTGCTCCAGGCTGATTCATGGAGCTCTTGGGGTCGCCTTTTGAAATCAAAGCGGGGCTGAGACATCGACCGCTTTGCTTTGACAAGCCTCTGGCCAGCTACAAGCTGTTGAAAAAAATCCGAGGCGAGCAACTCGCTAAGGCCTCAGTAGTTCTGTGCCTGAGCGAGCGAAGCCCCACAAGCTGCAGCGCCCACAAAACATACCTTTCCTCCCTCCCTTGCATGGTTTGCTTTTGCAATCCTCTTGCAAACCATGAACAGAAGGCTGGCGATTTTTGAGTCAAACACCCACTCGCCTTCTTGCAGAGACCTCCGCGATCCAAACTCGCATTCGTCCGCCGCCACAAGTCCCTATCTCAAGAGCGGTCCCCAAATTCACTTTGCCAGTCTCCAACCAGGGAATTCCAGGATGACCCACCCTCTCAATTCCACTTTCAAGGGCTTGGCTTGGCGTTTCAGCTTGCCAGTGTCCAGCCAGTGAATTCTTACCCACCTTCTCTCAAGGGTCGGGCCTTGGCATGGCCACGCGCAGCCGAGCGTCCATCCAAGCAGTCTGCTCAACTTCGTCGATGCCCATGGACCAGTTCTCAAACTCGCGCTGGCTGATGCACCTGCGCCTGTGAAACGGATCACGGACAGCAACAAGGAAGGAAAGGAGAAAGGGCCCGGCCAGAATCACGCACTTTGATACCCATGCAAATGTGCAGGTTTACATTTGTTTAAAGGATGAACACATGTACACGCTGACATGAAAGCATGATGGGCATGAACTCTGGTTCATTTCTTGGCTGCTTCGCCTTGGCCGGCTTGCATCTCAAATGCTACCTTTTGGTGCAACCGCGCAAAATAGCATGCGCTTATATCGGGAAAAGAACAACTGCGCTCTCATGGTGTCAGGTCAGCTGGTGAGACCGCAATCTGACTAAACTCGTTCCAAGAAAACCCTGCTTCGAGGGGAACACTCCTTGGAAACTTGATGAGTGATCTATGGTGGGCCGACCAAGCCAAGACACTTGCTGTGGGTAAGGAAAGGCGTTGTAGCAATCAGAAACAAATGACGTAACCAGAGGCCGGGTTTCTAGCTTGGATTGATTCGCAGTTCTCCGCTTGTCGTGGAGTCCCAGGCAAAGCACGACCAAAGCGGCCAGGGGGAAGCATGCTCTCAATTCCATTTTTGAACTTCAACTTGGGGACTGGCAGCGTTGTGGGTACCAACCCTTGTAGTGCCAAAGTGGGTCACCATGGTTACCCCATCCCCAGCACTACATCACTTCAAAGCGGAACCCTACAGTGGCCTTTGAAAAAACGGGCCACCCCATCTTTCTGCGGTGGCCCATCGTTAAGGGACGCCCCCTCACGCGTTTCGCAACCCAGGCCTGACGCTCTCCTCCAAGACCTGATGACGGCGGTCTCGCCGGATCTGGCTCCACAACCTGGCGAGTGGCTCAAATGTGTCTGGAATATGCGTCAACATATGAGCCTGGGTCAAAATTTAACCAGGACGTTCTGGGTTCCACGCGCTTCTGCAAAGTCTGCCGCGAGCATCACAAGGACCGCGAATATGGTGCCAGAGCGCGTTTCGAGGTCCGAAACGCACGAAAAAACGAATTCGGAACTCGAAATTCTTTTTTGTTGCGCGTTTCTACAAACTGCGCCGCGGG